GCATAGGACACGCCAGTATGGGACTTGGAAGCATCAGTATAATATTCTGGACAGTTATATTTATGTTGCAGCTCTAAGAAATACATCCGAATGTGTATGGGGGAGGCATGCTTTGTGACAGCTACGAAAGATGTGTCACAGTCTATAACCTGCCACTGCCACGGCGGGAGCCGCAGGGCGGGGGGGCTGAGGTGGTATTCAAGCAGTGGGACATCTGTTTCTTCAGCTAGGTCTCTAACACGCAGCGAGAAAGGGCGTGCCATTGCGGGTCGATTGTAAAAAAGTTGAGAGCTGGACAGGTCGTTTATGGTGGAATATGCAGGTTGCTCACTGTTCGCATTTACTTTAAGGAAATATATGAAGGAAGAGTATGTTCTCTGCAGATGGAGTGACCACTCGTCCGATTCTACATAAAGGCTTTCAACTGGGCTTGGTCTAAAGGCGCCTGTGGACAGGCGGATGCCTTGATGATGAACAGGGTCCAACATTTTCAGAGCGCTTGGCGTGGCAGAGTGATAGACTATTGCCCCATACTCAAGACGTGTGCGTATAAGGCTTCTATACAGATTCATGAGGCACTTTCTGTCGCTGCCCCACGTTGTTCGCGACAGCACCTTCAGGATATTCATTGTTTTCAAGCATTTATTTTTAAGATGTTTTATGTACGGTACAAAGGTTAACTTCGCATCTAAAATTATACCTAGGAACTTATGTTCTGTGTTTACGGGTAGACGCTCACCCTTAACGACCAGTTCAGGATCAGGGTGCAAGCCTCTTTTTCGTGAAAAAAGGATACAGGTGCTTTTCTGTGGGTTCAGTTTGAACCCGTTTTCATCAGCCCATTTGGATACCTTGTTAAGGACGAGCTGAACCTGTCGCTCACAGATCCCAAGAGAACACGATTGAAAACCTATCGGCACATCGTCGACATATGTTGAATAAAAGACATTACGTGGAATGTACAGACGGAGAGAATTCATTTTTATAATAAACAGCATACAGCTGAGCACCCCACCCTGTGGCACTCTGGTTTCCTGTACAAATGTTCGGGACAGAACATTGCTCACTCTAACGCGGAAGGTACGATCAGACAGATAGCTTTTAATGACACTGAACATATTACCGTGTATACCTATGTGTGAGAGGTCTCTCAATATTCCAAACCTCCACGTAGTATCGTAGGCCTTCTCCATGTCGAGGAACACAGATAAGAAAAACTGATTATGAACAAAAGCCTCACGTATGTGTGCCTCGATACGTACAAGATGGTCGGTGGTAGATCGGCCCTCTCTAAACCCACACTGGTATGGGTCGAGCAATTTGTTTGTTTCTAAGTAGTGGAGTAAGCGGCAATTAATCATTTTTTCAAATAGTTTGCAGAGGCAGCTTGTTAACGCTATAGGTCTATAACTTGATACAGTAGAGGGATCCTTTCCCTGCTTCAAAATTGGAATTATAACAGCCTCCTTCCAGGAGGAGGGGATCACACCTGAAAACCATATGCGATTATAAAGAGAGAGGAGCGTTTCTTTAGTTTCGGAGGGTAGTTCCTTCAGCATCGCATACATTATGTTGTCAGAACCTGGGGTAGATGTATTACAGCAGCTGAGTGCTGTTCGCAGTTGTGCTAAGCAGAATGGTGCATTATATGCCTCATTTCTTGCGGATTTTCTTTCTAACTTTTGTTTTTCTATTCGTGCCTTGTAATTCTAGAAGGATTCGGAGTAGTGTGAGGAGCTCGATATGTGTTCGAAATGTGTGCCAAGAAAGTTGGCTTGATCCTCCAAGCTTTCCCCGAGGCTATTTACTAGTGGAAGGGAATACGTTTGTTGGCCCTTAATTTTCTTTACCTTATTCCACACTTTTCCCTCGTCTGTGTACGAGTTTATACTCGATATAAAATTTGTCCAGCTCTCTCGTCTAGCTTGTCGACGCGTTCTCCTTGCCTGCGATTTGACCCGCTTGAAATTTTCCAGGTTTTCTGATGTAGGGGAATCGCGAAGCAACGCCCATGCTTTGTTCTGAGTGGTCCGTGCTTTCCTGCATGCGTCGTTCCACCATGGGACTCGCCGTTTAGAAGACATGCCGCTCGTTTTGGCAATACATTTAGATGCGGCATCAAGTATAAAAGCTGTAAAATACGTGACAGCGTCATCTATGGTCAGGGCAGACAGTTCAGTCCATGTCATGTATGTAAGAGTTCTATACCCTTCCCAGTCAGCTGAGTCAATCTTCCATCGAGGAACCTGCGGGGGTAGTTGATCTTTGTTCGGCGCACTCAGGATGATTGGGAAGTGGTCACTCCCATAAGGGTTTTTAAGAACGTTCCACTTAAAAACAGGTAAAAGGGATGGCGATGAAATGCTAAGATCTATGGAGGAGTACGTGTTGTTTGCAAGGCTAAAATACGTAGGCTCCTTTATATTTAAAAGACATAAACTAGAAAAGAAAAGGAGCTGCTCAATGAGACGTCCTCGCGCATCACAGTGAGCATCGCCCCACAGGACATTGTGTGCATTAAAATCACCTAGAACCAGAAACGGCTCTGGGAGTTCGTCTATTAATGATTCTAGATCATGTCTGTGTAGCTGTTGATGCGGTGGTATGTACACAGAACATATGGTAATGAGTTTGTTAAAAAGTACAGCTCGAATGGCCACTGCCTCAAGGGCCGTTTGGAGCTTCAAATGTTGGCATGCTATACTACGATCAGCTATAATGGCTACACCGCCAGATGGTACGACAGCATCATCCCGGTCTTTTCGGAAAATAGTATATTGTCGTAGGAAGTCCTTGTGCTTAGGAGTTAAGTGCGTTTCTTGCACACATAGCACTTTCGCATTGAACTTACTCAGAAGTTCATGGACGTTATCTAAATTTCTAAGTATTCCCCTTACGTTCCACTGTATGATGTTGTCCATAGTGGAAAAAAAAGAAGGGAAAAGTGCTGTGTGCAGAGAAGACGGAAATTAGCTCATTTTACAGGACCTTTGTCAGGCCCTGTAATTGGCGTTCTGTCCTTTTTGGGGCGGTCGAGCGAAGCTCGCCGCTCCATCAGCGCTTCCTGCGCCGTTTGGCTTGGACTGGTGTCCATAGCCTCTTGCGAGGCACTGGACGCCCGCTCTACAGAGCGATCTGTGCGTCGCTTAGACTTCGCCTCGATCGACGAAGTCTTTGTCCCCACCGAGCTGGGGGTTGATGAAGCCCCCTTGGCCTCGTGATTGCCCTGGCTGCTGCCAGAGCTTGTAGAGGTTACTGGTGTGGACAGGCTGATTATGGGCAGGGCAGCGCTGGCTGCTCCCTACGCAGGGGCTTGTGGCATTGGCCTCGGCACGCTAGGCGCGGTCCGGGCAACTGCCAAGGGCCTTTGTGGTGCCGCCCCTCGTTGCACCACTTCGGCAAAAAATGTTTTTAGTGCTAATGATAACGAGACCCGTTGTCTTGCTTCCCTGAATGTGATATTTTCCTTAACTTTTATAGTTATTATTTCTTTTTCTCTTTTCCAGGCTGGGCACGCTCTGGAGTATGCGGGGTGACTACCTTCGCAGTTAGCACAGAGGACCTCGTCATGACTACATTCATCAGCGCTGTGGCCAGTTGTGCCACACTTAGCACACATCAGCTGTCCTCGGCAGCTCTGGGATGCATGACCAAATCGCTGGCATTTGAAACAACGCCTCGGGTTTGGAATGAAAGGTCGGACATGGAGTTTTACATAGCCAGTTTCGAGAGTCTCAGGTAAAGAGGTTGAATTGAAGGTGAGTATCAAGTGCTTTGTTGCTATTTCATTGTTGTTACGTCTGATTTTGATGCGCTGGACATGTATCCCACCTTGGTCCTTCCATCCATCAAGAAGCTCTTCTTCACTCAGTGTCATCAAATCTTCGTCCGATACCACGCCCTTCACTGTATTCATGGTACGATGTGCGCTCACAGAGACGGGGATGTTACCAAAGGCTACAAGGTGCGAGAGTTTATTGTACAGTTCTTTGTCTTTTAATTCGAGAAGCAGATCACCACTTGCCATCTTCGTGGCCTTATAACCGGTTCCAATGGTCTCTCTCAAGCACTTGGCTACAAGGAAGGGTGAGATTGCTCTAGCTTTTGTAGATGATTGTTCGCAGTGAAGGACATGGTATTTTGGGAAAGTTTCTCTGTTTTTAGGCCGAAGTAGTAAAGTTGCGTCGGTGCGTACCCTTTTCGAGGCACGATCAGTTAGACAGGGGGTCGAGGATCCCATGGGAAAATGTGGATTTTTCGGTAACGGCGCCTACCACCCACCACGGAGTCCAACAAGGGGACGTGGCAGAGCATGTGGGCATGTCTGCGCAACGCCAGCAGTACTCAGTTACTATAACCCAATATGGTTTACCCTAGTTTGGATAGCCACACAAGGTTAACCCTTGCCGCCAGGAAAAATGGGAAGTAAAATGAAGTGAGGAGAAGACAGGAAAGATGTAAAGTGAGAACAAAAGACGAAGATATAGGGAGAGAGAGATAGGAAAAGGCGACTGCCGATTTCCCCTGGGTGGGTCAGCCCAGAGGTGCCGTCTACGTGAAGCCAGGGCCAAAGGGGGGGCCTTTAAGGTCCAATCACCCGGCGTCGGCTCAACCCCCAGGATCCGCTTTTCCCCGGACACGGCAAAGCCATGCACGGCTAGGCGTGGGAGGGAGTAGAAACTCCCCCGTTAGCTCGGGTCCGTGGTGCCGCTACACACCAAACGCCTACTTGCGCAGGCGCCCCTGCGGGGAGGAAGATTTGTCAGAGAACAGCAGGAATTACTAAGCACATTAATTCATTGAACCTACAAATGCCCATTTTATCGAGTACCCTAATTTCTGTATCTTGCACATTCCCCACTGCTCTGTAGAAACTATCCTCCTATTGTCCTCAGTGGTAAGCACACAAAGTAGCACGCACTAACACACCGCATTTTTGCGTTTTCGTTCTGCGCTCCTTTCGACAAGTTACAAAACTATCCATAAATGCTGTAACAATTGAAGTGCCATTGGCTAAAAGTTGTATTTTTTTCCTCAGATGGTCCAGAAATACACTTCCACGGTGACAAGTTCTTGACAGTCTAGTTGACCGCAGCAGGCATTGGTAGGCCATCAAGGGCAGCTAATATGTTCTGCGCTGTTAGAATGGCCATTGCAGTTCGGGTGCGAGTTGCTGCACTACCAATGTGGGGAAGGATCACTGAAAACAGAAAAGAAGCGATACTAAGGTTTATTACAGAAGCAATGCATGTAGCATACTACACATGCACAATGAATGCCAACATAAATACCAGGTAGATAAAGGTTTGTAATACGTGTACAACAGCTCTACAACTTGTAAGTGATTTGGTACTAACAAAGTACCACATTTACCTAAGCCTTCTGGCACATGCCAGAAGACTTGGGTAAAACATACTCGAGTCTTCAGCCAGGAAATTCTGGCACATGACAGTTTGCCTTTGCATAGAAAATCCCTTTTGCTTTGGGAATCCAATAATCCGATTGCAGTTGCTTTTAAATGGCTTCTTGGAATGCCTCGACTCCTGGCACGTTCATCAAAAGACGCTGCACACGTGCCTCCTCTCCCCCTCAAAAAAGCTGCCGCAGCACTGACCAAGTCGCGGATCAACGTCGAGCGAATTATAGAACGCTCTGAAAGGAAAGAGTTACACGCTGCCGGGTTGCAGCACGGGGCCCAGAAAATACGAGAAAGATGTCCCCCTTTCCCTAGCCTTGGCTGTGCGGCGTGCCAATGAAAACCCTAGAAGCTTCGAGAACCCAGAGCGAGCGTATCAGTATGTGAAGGCCTGTGCTACGACAGAGCGCGAGTGGCCGGTGTGCTGCCGGCGAATAATTTTTGTTATTGAAGTGCGATCAGTTGATGACACTAGAGTTTCCTGGCACTGAAACCTCAGATGCAGCGGCACTACAAACAGTGCTGGACTTTGAGTGAGGGTTTCCTGGTAGAGAAGCATTCAAGCTTACTTCTAAAAACTTTGGACTGAATATGTTCGACGAATATTCTAGTCTCTAAGTGTTTTTAGATAGTTAATGCACGAGATTGCATTGAAGCATGTGTTGTTGTTTTTGCCCGTTGTTTTGAATTTATTGGAGTATCTTGTGAGCGGTGTCGTATTGTATTTGATCACTGTAGAGTGTGCATGTTTCTGTGTTGTTCTGCCTTATCTGATAATATCTTTTTCGTTTAGATTATTTTCGGCTCTGCCTGATTCTTTGGACTGCAGCCGGCATTTGCTGGCACAACAAAACGACCAACATTAAGTTGTCGGTGCTTTCATGATAGATATCGGGAGGCCAATACATCAGCGCTCAGAATTAACCCGGTGATTGCCTTCCTTTTAAAAGGACCAGTGACTCGTTTTAATGGCCAAAATAGGCACCTTTAATTTTTGCCAGTCACAATCACAAGTTTCAGGTGTGCCAAAATCGTGTGCTGTAGGTCTGTTTTCGCTAACATTGCATTTAGCAAACATACTAACATTGCATTTAGCAAGTAATACTAACATTGCATTTAGCAAACAAACAAACATACTACAATTATGTAATCTGCCCCGCCGCGGCGGTCTAGTGGCTAAGTTACTCGGCTGCTGACCCGCAGGTCGTGGGTTCGAATCCCGGCTGCGGCGGCTGCATTTCCGATGGAGGCGGAAATGTTGTAGGCCCGTGTGCTCAGATTTGGGTGCACGTTAAAGAACCCCAGGTGGTCGAAATTTCCGGAGCCCTCCACTACGGTGTCTCTCATAATCATATGGTGGTTTTGGGACGTTAAACCCCACATATCAATCAAATCAATTATGTAATCTGATATAAGCTTGCATACAGTAGCAACTAGAGCCTTGGAGGTATTATAGAATTGTAGGATCAATGCAGCGCTTCGGTATTCAAGGTGGTACTTTGTCACCATAATCTTAACACTAAGACCCGAAGGTTAAATATTTTTCAAGAATTGCCATTACGAATCTCATTATAGTGGTAATGCATTGAGACACATTCACTTCGGCAACACAGGAGTACAAAACAAAATGTCTCATCTGGTGTTGAGTAAAGCTTTGATAATTTCATAAAATCTTGAACTGCATGCATATTGGTAATTCACTCATTTAAACAAAAAAAAATGATGCTTTTCTATTCCACCGTGTTGTGCCTTCAGGGTTTTCCCATCACTGCTGATTATTCATAAAGTATGTGAAAAATATTTGACAGTTAGAATATGTGCTATTCGATTCGAGAACTTAATTTAATAGAAGCCTGTTCCATTCCTAATTTGAATTTTGAAGTATTAGCACAACCGTAGTAAATATAGAAAATCAGAGGTCCTAGGGAAATTTGTCTGTAAGGCAGGGCAACAAAGTTTTTTTTTTTTCCCCTTTCATCGGTTTAACAAATATTGTGCACATTTTAAAGCAATAGGCACTTTTATATAGGCACACACCGTTATTTTAAATATCTAAGAATATACTCACCACAATTTGGTAACTTTAACAATGGATGGTCTGGTGGGAGTGGCTCTGGTGTCATTACATCCAAGCCAGCAGACCGGATTTTTCCAGAAGACAGGGCTTCACAAAGTGCCTCCTGATCTACAACTGGGCCCCTTAAAATATGGAAAAGAACACGTTGTCAACACAAGTGAGCATAACCAATAATAAGTGCACTTGTATTAATTGTTATCTCCACACCTTTCTGTTTTGCCTTCAAGCATGGTCGTCGGCAGGGTTTTGTCTTGAAGGGGTGCAAACCAGTGCTGCATTGTGGCTGGGGGAGGGGAGAGCACTGGTGTAGCTTGGGTGAGGGGAAGTGCCCCTTTTCCACCCCCCTGCTGACGCTCATGCCTTCAGGCCTTGTAAGCATCTTTAATAAATAAAGAAATGAATAAATTTGCATCAGCTTACTGAAACACTAAAGATAGAATGACTTTCCTTGTATTAATAAATAACAACTTCAGAATACTGAAAGCCCCACTCTTACCACAAGAAGGTAAGTGAGATAACTAGCAGAAAGGAAATGTATATGGCAACACTGCCTTGATGTTGCCGCACCTACTCGCCGCAATGTCGTAGATTTCGACAGTATCTGCTGGGGCTAGGCTTGTGCGAATATTCGCATGCTTCAAATATTCGAATGAATAGTTGAGTATTCAAATTCACTTCAATTCAAATTATTCGCAATGAACGAATAGGTGTATATTAGTCCACATGTTACCGCCTGTAAGGGTGGTCAATGCAATGCATAAATGCAAAGCTGTGATAGCACCCACTCAAGAGAAATTCGTTTTGCCACGAAGCCACTTTTTAAATTTAAAGGGGCTCTGCAACACTTATTAAACATGGTCAGAAAACGCTGCCGATTGGTAGTCGAGGCTACCGAGAACACGCGAGGCGAATGTTCTAGTGCAGCACACGACCTGTAACTCACAATAACTTTTCAAAGCTAAAAATTGCTTTCTTCCCTCGACAAATGACACTACAAGCTCAAGAATCGCATGTCACAGCCATTGGCTGATTTGAGCATGACACGCTCGTCGTTACCGGGGCCGCCGCTTGTCCACTAGTACGTGTGTGATCACACTGAAAAGCCATGTATTCGAAGAAAAAAAGGGGATGCTCAAGGTCAGGAGGTGCGTGTGACGTATTTTCTTTTGCCGTGACATTCCTCTCTGCTTAACTTCCAGCTATTTCGTCGGGATGAGAAGAGAGAATGCAATTGCAGCGTGTGACAAATTATTGGAACTCCGCTCATACTGGACCAATTCTAGAAACTTTGCGGCGGTAAACATGTGCGGCAATAAGCATGTTTACTGCCTCCACGGCTACTTGAAAAAGTGTTGCAGGGCCCCTTTAAAGAAATTTGTTACCCTTAAATCAATTCATTTTATAAAGCTTGTTATGACAACTTATATGCTCCAAGTATAATAAATTTTGAAACGCCAAGTATCTTACAGGTTATCACTTGCATCCTACCAAAACTACTACTCAAGGTTGTTTCGACTTCCCTTGAACGAAAAAAAAAAAAAACGGAATTTGAATAGAGCCCCTATTTCAATTCGAAAGAAATATTGTGCAGGTTAGTTAGGTCATGATAAATATTCTTTTCTTTATTATATGTCATACATACCATTCGAGTTCTATTTGAAATTATTTAATACAAATCGCTATTCGCTTCGAATTCGCTTTAAACCTAAAATTCACTATTCGCACAAGCCAATGAAGTCATTTATCAGTGAAAAACTTTTTCCTTAGTATTTCGAGAGGCCCAATGACTTAAAGCAAATTAAAGAAAAATTTCATTAAACCAATGAGGCCAACTTGCGCAAAAGAACTTCCGAGATTCATGACATTCAACTGACGTTAACAAGTTTAAGCGAAATTCAAAAATTTACCTTCGATGTTCATTTCCTCTCCTAATAACCTATGACGGCAAATCTAATATTCCCATAGTTTTGAAAAAGTAACTTATCTGTCTGAATGTATCAAAAGTTAACACAGTTGGTCTGAAAAACCTGTCATGTGCAAGACATAAAGCCCCTGTGTTAAGCCATCATAGGGTTCACAATCGTAGACTTCAAGTGAACATCAAGGGACATAAAAAAATTTCGAGAAATTCGATGCCTCAAGTTAGTGTAGTCCTTCAGTTTTTTACTAGTCGTGAAAGTCCCACTGAGGTTCTCCTTGGGGACAAATGCTAACACCAGTGGTGCAGACACTGTTGACAGGTAGTGACTGCTCAGAGGAACTTGCAGAAGATCGCAGGTGGACTAAATAAATTCTACATCCTCTTACATTGAAAGCATCATGAGAGCATAACTAAACAAAACACACAGGAAGAGACAGACGAGGATGGCGCCACTCCTCCTCTGTCTTTTCCTGTGTGTCGTGTTTCGCTGTGCTCTCACTATGGTTTCTGTGTCAAAGCACCAACTTGCCCAACAGTCAACTCATTTGAAGTACATTCTCTGTCAAGAAAGTGAACGACAAAGAGCCCAGCACTTGTGTAATGGCCACAGATTTTTTTTCCCCCAAAATTTGGGACAAAATCAGGGATGCAGCCACTAGACAGAAAAAAGAGACAACTTTCTTGTTTCGTACATGTTTCCAGCACTACTTGCCTTTGTTAAACTACAACATTCACTTGTACTGGAAGAAGATATAAAGAAACTCACTTTCACGCAGTCACAAAAATGTTATTCCTTGCCGTAAACATCTTTACTCTTTACATCATGTCCAGATAAGGTTGTCCTCTGTGCCATCAAATATGCTTGAGATTCCCATGACCTTGAAGGTTTTGTCTAATGTATTGAAAGACCTCCCCCCCCCCCCCCCAGACTAACTACGAAAATCTAAAAGCCCACATCCGCAAGAGATGCTCTCCTCAGCCTTACAGTTGATATTGTTTGGTAGACAGCAGTGCCACGGAGGCAGCCACTGCATCTTGAAGGCTCTGCTACTTTTTCTACCTAGGAACCCCGAAAATTCGGTACAGCACTTTTGTCTTGCACACCAAGAAAAAAATATTAATAATTATAATAATAATGTTTCAGATTGCTCGCACCACACTACTGACAACACTGCCAACCTCCTAAAAAATTCAGGGTGAAGCTAATGCACAAATGACTCTTGATAGATATATGGGGTTTAACGTCCCAAAACCATCATATGATTATGAGAGACGCCGTAGTGGAGGGCTCCGGGAATTTCGAACACCTGGAGTTATTTAACATGCACCCATATCTGAGCACACGGGCCTACAACATTTCCGCCTCCATCGGAAATGCAGCCACCACAGCCAGCAAATTACTCTTGAGTATATTTAAGGAGGATTCTTAAATGAACTACCAGTTTCGGCTATTACGTGGGTACAGCCATTACATGAGTGCATATGGTAAGTAACGGGAGGGGCAAACATCCCTCCATGGTAGCTCAGTAGCTATGACACCACTTTGCTGAACAAGAGGTCGCTGTGACCACAATCAATGTTCCTGGCATTGACACTGAAGTACGGTAGTTAGACTTGGATATCCTAACTCAAATGATCAAGTCTGGTGCAGACCTCACCACTGTGGCCGGCCTTAACCAGAAGCTGGTTTCGACATGTAATCAACCTCCTGCCTCCTTGCACACACATACATTAAAGTCTTGAAAGGTATTTATTTCTTAACAATACAATAATACAGATACCACACAAAGTATTTACTGTTGACCTTATATAGACAGCTCATTAGTGAACCACGTTTTGCATACAGCAAAAAGAATAGCTCGGAGTAAAGACAGTAAGCCAACTTCTGCTGTTCACATTCTTTGTGTGCAACTGCCTGAGCAAGAGAAAATCAAGTCATGGCAGTTGTACTGCCTCATGCATAACACGAGATAAATGCTCTACATTCAAATCATTTACCAGCATCACTGCCAACTGAGGGCATACACACTGCAGCAATGTTTCCAATCAGATACCTTTATAAATATTCTACATATTTTTTAAAACCATATTAAAAATTTTAAAAATTTGTGAACAACAGATTCTGCTAACTTTTTTTTACTTTCAGTAGCAGGAAAAAGGCCTATTTAGAAATAATTCATCAGGTTTGCATCAACATCAAAATACACGTGACCTTGTTAAGTAAAAGTCTGAGGAAGACCTGTGCAAGACCACTGATGATTGTCTTGCAGAGCTGTCATCTTGTTTTCACAGTATCACCATCAGACTAAGAAATCGCACCATTGATGTAATAGTAGGTACCTTAGTGAAGATACCATACTGAGTATAATTAGCCATGCCAGCTCTCTGACAAAAATTCATAAAAATCATCTCATGAACGGTCCAGGATATTTTACAAATCCCCCACATAATGCAAATGCACTGCTCATGTCATTCATTCCTTCTATTTAAGTGGGCACCCTGTTTTATGATGCTCTACCAACTCATTTGAATTACTATGCTGTTCAAGTGTACTGAATGCTTATTGGCAAAGTAATGCTACAATGTGGATTCCTAAAGCATCCTTTACTTATATCTTCATCAATTACTACTGTGTGCAATAACGTGTTCATGATGACTATATTTTGCATGACTGTGTATGTACAGTAACGCCCAACAGAAGTTGCTGCATGCGGTCAAAGCACTATCAATGGTGCAATAAAACAAAGCACCGAGAGGAAAAACATTCTATGACATAAGTACTGTTTTGACAACAGTGACTTCAAAACCAATTTCACCTTTGCCAGTGTTAGTACAGGCTTGGAACCCCTTCAACCATGGCCACCATGTTGCAACTCGTATTGGGCCCCACTGTACACCGTACCGTAATTACTCGAATCTAACGCGCACATTTTTTCTGGTTAAGCGAGTTCATAAATCGCATGCGCGTTAGAATTGAGTACGAACAAAAAAAAAGGATACGGTCATTCTATTGTCATCGGCATTTCCAAAATGGCTGCCCCCTACGTGCGTCGGCATGGCACGTCGGCCATTTCTGCCTATGTGTTTCCCATGTGCGGCACTTCGTACGTGTGCTGAGGAGTTCGTCATCTAGTAGTGCATTAGCATCGATGGCGTGGAAGGGCCGACTTTAAAAACTCGAGTGCACCACGATGCCGCTTT